AACAGTCACAAAAGAGTGTTGCTTAAGCCTAAAAGGGGTATATAATGGTCAATGTGACGTTCGTTCGTTTGTCTTGAGTCAGAGAGAACACACCAATGAGCAAATCTATACTGCATACTGCATATGGTCAACTTCTACGAAACCAGCGGACATAGTACGAGCCAGCCTTATGTCACTGCTCTTAGCAAGGTAAACGATGATGTCTGCCTGAGGCAAACGCCAATGTCGCTATTGATGGATGCGAGGATGCGAGAGAATCCATGTATAATAAGGTTGAATGATGAAGCAATTGTTCGGGATAGAGACTGCATGACAACACAACCGAATTACGAATTTGGACACATGGTGGCTCAGTGGAAAATCATGACAGCAAGAAAGCATGGGCCTAGATGATCCGAGCAGGTCAAGTGGTGTTGGAAGTGATAAGGAGGGAAAAGGGTTGCAGATCAGACGAGCTCGGACGGGGTTTAGATTGGCTGGCAGTCGGTGACCAAAAAGACTAGTCTGCAGCTTGCAGGTGCCATATTAGGCAAACATCCTTCCTGCATTAATCAAGAGATTGTTAGGATCTGGAAATATTAATCTAGTGGATGTGGGGTGTTTGTTGGGAATCAAAGTAGATGATAATATACTACGGATGGGTATGTAGAGAGAGAGAGAGGAATGTCGGGGATCTACACAGGGAAAGTGGACAAGAATAGCATCCAACAAGATATAGACTACTCTTTGACTTGTACTCCGTAATGCTGTGGGATCCGCGGAATGGTCACGGCGGGGCCACAGGGCTGAGCACCCAAGAAGTAGGGTAGTTACTTTGGGAGAAGAAGAAGAAGACACACTATCTACTATTTAATCAATCAATCAATCCAATGCGTCCATTTTCGTTCTAAATTTAATTTATTTATTTAGTTACTGGTCTTGGATGGTGTCATCACCCGCAGATTGTCACTCCCTTTTTCCTATTTCTCTTCTCATCTTTTTTTATTTCTCTCCTCTCCATCTGTCTTCCCGCTGCTGTTTTCGCTCTCCGCTTTCCCCTCTCTGCTTTCCTGCTGCTTTCTTGCTTTTGCTTTCTCCCTCCCCTCTTCTTCTTCTTCTTCTTCTCCCCCCCTCTTCATCTTTTTCTCTTTGCGCCCTTTTTCTTTCTCCTCCCTATCTTCTCCCAGTCTTATTGCTTGTCGCACTTCCCTGTGACCCTCCATTGATCTTCCAAGTAAAGTGTAATCGTGGGGTGAGGCGCACGCCGAGCATCCACTTGGAACCAAAACGTCATCATCATCCACAGCCCGAACCTTGGCCGCAACTAGGCAGACGGATTCTACGCTGACTTCCCCTTCTAGAATCTTAATTTGATTCTATTCACCATCACCCCTGTCAGCTGCAGTTATAAAGTCAATGATTGCCCGACCAGCACGTTGAATCCCCCACCGTGCTCGAGCAACTCAACCATGACTTCTGCGGACCTCTCCTCCGTTCCCAACGGAGTCCAGTCGGGCGCTGCTGCTGCTGCTTCCCCAGCCGCTTCCAACCCCGCGCCCGGCCAGATCCTCACCGGAAAACAAGAACATTGTCAGTTTTCCTCGATCGCGTCCCGTTGAATCGCTTTGGAGTCTTCGAGGGTCTCTTTCTGACCGATGCAGATCTCAAGCGCGAACTCATCGCCCGCCAAGTTCAGAGCGAAATTTCCGAACTGAATTCGCCAACCGCCCTCCGACGCTTCGGTGCACCTTTCAAATCCGAATTCGGCGAAGTCGCGCCCGTCGACTCGGAGCTTCCCATCCTACGATACATCTTCGTCCACCATGTGCGCAATTTCCCCTTCCTCGATCAAGCTCGCGAGAAGGAGTTCTGGCAGGATAAGTTACAAGTGGTGCGTGTGTCCCCGATCCAATCCGTTTTGCGCATCCCGTAATTGAGAATTAATCGCCGGCCCATAGTTCCTCGAATCGTTCGCGACGAAGCATGTATCCTCCTCTGAAGATCGTCTGGAAGAGACCAAGCGTCGGAAGTTGGCCAGGAAGTGCGAGAAACTGGTCGAGCTGATGATGGTCTCTGGTATCCCCACAGCATCGGGCTACGAGGAGCGCATCCAGTTCTCGGAGATGGAGGTGGTAGACCGAGGGGCTAATGAAAAGGGGCTGTTGGTCAATATGCCGGAGGGTCATGCCATCCATGGCTGGGACGTCAACGTGGCTGCCGTACGCGTTACCTCGGTCAGGAGGACGGTGCGATACCACCAGCATGCGGTAAGCGTCTACGTGGCTGTGTGATTGGACTTCCCCACTGATGCACAATTTAGGAGTTTATCCTTCGAGTGCGCCGCGACGGACAGCCAGATCTCTTCGTGGCTCGACGATATGGCGATTTCGCCAAGTTTCACAAGCGACTACGCACGGAATTCCCAGGGAAGCCACTCCCACCTCTTCCCCGCAAGAATAAATCCTCCACAACAACGAGCTGGTTCGGATCGGCAGACGATGAAGCATCCTCAGTGTCGTCGGTTTCAACAGTGGGTGTCGCTGTGGTTGATGACGGCACGTCCTCCCGTAACTTGGCCCCCGGAAACCACCATCAGCGGTCCTTGTCGCGGTCATCCAGGCGTTCCGTAAGATCTCCCCGAGCTTCCAGCGACGGGTCGAGGGAGACGGTACTTTACCGCGAAGAGCAGAGAGTTTCTCTTCGGGCGTTCCTTCGTACCTTGCTGCAAAACAAGCGTATAGCTGAGACAAAGGCCATGGAAGAGTTCCTCACAGCGGACCCCATCATTTTGAATGAGGAGGAGGTGCTGGACATGCAGAAGCGCAAAGATGTCGATGCGGTGCGCATAGAGGAGCAGAAGCGGTTCTACGAGATCGCCAGGGCGCGTGCAGCCGAATTGGACGTATACATGGAGAACTTCCGCCGCGACATTGTGGAAAGCAGTAAGTCCTTGCTGATGTCCCGATCGATGGTTTTTCCGCTGACAATGGAATTACAATCTAGACGGTTTGACAAAACTGTTCGCTGAAATCAAAGAAAAGCCCACAGTGCAGGATCTGAGTCCCAAGTATCAGAAATTTGCGGAGTGGCTCCGAATAGAGTACGTGTTTAATGGAATACCGTTGCTCTGACCGTTGCTCTGTATTCAGACTAACCAAACGCCAGGGTTGCTGCAACACTTTACCACCTTTTCCTGGCCGAGGATAATTCCCCTGAATTGTTCGCGCAAGCTAAGCGAATTCATTCGCTTGTCCCGTACACTTTGTTGAAGAATGTTATTCGTATTGCCAACCCCGCGGCCGTCATGGCAGGAGTGCTGGACCTGTTCTTGGCCCAACCCTTCGGCTCTCGCTCCCTGCTCCAGCGGATCTTCTCCATGACCCTCAACGATGGCATCAAGGCCTTCCAGAAATCGATCGATGCGTTGGCTGCCAAGGTCGATGATCCCATTCTTTGCCAAAAGTTGAAAGCCTTCACCGATGCCGACGAAGAGGTCAAGAACGAGATTCGTGCCGAAGCTGCCGCCGAGGATGTTGACATTATCGTGGCCATCCTTCGTAGCGAGTATCTGCAACCCGAGCTGGCTCCAGAGCAATTCGGCAAGGTGTTCAATGGATACGTAGCATGGAACCAAGCCGTGGACAATGTTGAGGTGGAGATGCGCGAGGGGGCGCACTGGTTTGCGAACTTGAAGCAGCTTCTGAAGCTGTACACTCGTCAAAGGGACAAGGCTATGATGTTGAGCATCGTAGAAGAGCCAACTACTCTTCAGCTGTTCCGCGACCTCTTCACCATTTTCTACGAACCCCTGGTGCGCGTCTACAAGTCTGCCAACGTCTACAGCAGCATCACCGATTTTGCACATTTCGCCGACGATGCGATTGCGGTGATTGAGAAGTGTCAGCGGCAAGATGTGTCGGCAGATCCGAACCAGACCGTACAAGCCTTTATCGACCTGTGCGAGCGCCATCAAAGTAGCTTCTACAAATTCGTTCACGAAGTTCACCTGCACGACAATGGCCTGTTCAGTTCTCTCATGGCGTGGATCGAGGAGATTCTCGAATTCCTGCGCAAGGGGCCGCGCGGAGGTGCGCTCGATATGAACGCCTTGCTTCGGGGAGCCACGGATTTCGTGCAGATTGACAAGGACAAGGCCCTGGAAGAGATTAATGCCCTGATCAAGTGGCATGAAGACCGAAAGCGGTGGCACTTGAACAAGACGCGGCAGAAGATGGCCGCTGAGGGCACGGCACATGACGGATACTTGGGTAACGCGTCATTCCGAGGCAGCGACTTTGGCCTCGACGAGGTATGTGTTCATGACTATCACAGATGCAGTTGTGTAGCTGTGTGCTAACAAGGGAATGCAGGCCGACCTGGAAGATCTTGCCATCTCGGACGCCGAGTCGGAAGCATCCGAAGATCTGGACGACGAAGAGGACCTGGACCCGATCTCGGCGGAGCGCAGGCGGCGGGTCAAGCAGCAGGACCAACTTCGGCGTACGGCAGGCGAGCCGGTCAAGCCTGACATAAGCGAAATTCTCAAGTTGTCCGAGTCATTTGGCGTTATGTTACGACAGGTACTTGCGGAATAAGTGTGGTTGCATTGTTAAGATACCCTAGAGTCTATACAGGCCTTGTATACATCGTTGATTCTGGTTGTTGGAGGTTGAGATCTTGCACGGGATTGCTGGATGGGCTAGAGAGGGACATGATCTGATCTGTTCGGGACATTGAAACTGTTGTTTATACACCTAATATCTTTATTTTAGAGCGGACCAAGACAGATTGCTTGGCTTCTTTTTTTATTTAGAAGTATGTGAAATGCGGACCACTTTTCGCGGTCGAAAAGTCGATCTTCCGCTGTCATGTCTCCGCGTGGGAGACCCACAGTTTCCATGGCGACAACCAGTCTATCCCTCGATCTATCCCTCCATCTTTCTTCTCGAATCTGTAGAAGTGCCTCTCAGCATGTTCTAGTCACTCTTAAGATTATCCCTAATTATCTTTACTACTGTATCATGCTCTCTCCCATGAAATCCTTCGGCAACAGTCCATCGCCTCACTCGCCTCGCACAGCGGTTCCTCTGCGGGGTCTCTTCCTCGATGGCGTCTGGCGCTGTAACTGTCCAGAGCGTCCCCCAGCCGTGAAATTCCAGACCAAGAACCACGGTGTAAACCATGGACGATGGTGTACGCAGTTAAACCCTTTCTGATCTACCAAAATTACATTAAAAGCCAATACCACTTCCGAATTTCTAGCTAACCACTGAACCCCGCACCCCACCCCTCACAGTCTACGTCTGCCAAAAGCCCCAAGAGAAACGCTGTCGCTTCTTTCTCTGGGCCAGCGACGCCGAAGTTCGCGAGAAGCACGCCGTCTTGACGAACTCTCGCACTGAACCTGCCACGGATTCCTTCTCCTCTACTGCCACCACTGCCACGATTTCCGCCCCCGAGACACCCTCCAAGAAACCACGCCTATCTGAAACGGGCCTTCTAACTCCGCAGACTGATCATACGGTAAGATTCGGAGGTATGGGCTTGGACAATAGTGGAGCAAGAGGGAAGGGAGGACGGTTGAGTGCGACTATGCCTCCTCAAAGCGCCAAAGCGCGCATGATGGCTGAAGATTTTGATGAATTTGAATGGGAGGATTCGGATGATGCGGTGGTGGAGAATATACTGAGTTCTCAGGAACACAGGCAGCAACAGGCTGCTGCTGCTGCTGCTGCGCCAATGCGACAGCCGAATTTCGGACCTCCAAAGACGCCGTCCCGAGACGCAGTTGGGGCTTATGCGCCGGGGAAGAGAAAGTTCGATGATATATCAGAGGGCTCAAAGACGGAGGTCTTTACACCGACGTCGTTGGCTAGATCTTTTACGGATCAGGCGGTGTCGTTCTCGTCTTCTGTGCCGCCGTCGTCGTTAGAGTTCTCGAAGACGCCTGCGCCGGTGAGGTTTGGGGCTAGTCCGGCTACAGGTGGAGATAAGGCTTCATCTGAACTGACTGCGCAAGCTGCTGAGATCCTGGAAAGGAATAAGGTGGTGATGTCGGAGAAAGCGAAGGGTGAGTTGATGGATCTCTTGCAGAAGCATGACTTGAAGATGAAGGGGATTGTCCGGGGACGGGACATTTCCAGGATTGCGTTGAAGAAGAAGGACGATCAAATCAAGGCATTGAATGAGCGAGTAGCAATGCTGGAAAGGAGGTGAACTATGAAGTGGTCACGATGATACCCATTCATATGTGGATTGTATTCTTTCTCCTGCGTTTTCGCGTGATGATCTGATGACGATGTCCATTCTTGCTTTATTAATGTATCAGGGTCTGCTGGCGGATTTCCTAGGTAGATTATTTCGGTAGCTTTAGCTAAATATTATTGAACAATTTGACTACTTCTATCATTCTTACACTCGATTCCTCTTTATAAACCAGTAGAATACATGTGATCCCCCATATCAATCTTATCTCCCGTCACGTGCCGATAAGCCACAGAGTCACAGCCCAATTCCAAAGTCTAAAAAATGTCGCGATCCTCCCACCAAACGAACAACCAGATCCCAGCCAGTCCATGCCAGCCTCGCGCTTTAATTACGCCAACTAGCACAGACCGCCAATTTACCGAACCCAAATATCCAACTAAATATACTGCTCATGTCCATGGAAATCGACTCCGAACCCACCCAACCGCTCCGCAGCGACCTCCCCGCCATGTTCCGTCCTCCAGTGAACCGGGCCATGAGAGTCCTGGACCGGTCCTTCTTTAAGAAGACGGTACCGATCTCTGCGGCAGCGATTTTCAAGACATCGGATATCTCCAATGTGCGGAAGGAATTGACCAAGAGCCGGGATATGCTTGTGCTGCCGAGATTGGGCTCCATCAGGGAGATTAAGATCAATGATTTGGTGCATAAGTGTTTGCTGTTGAAGGAGGATATCAAGCATGATGGTATGACCACTGCCTCGGCTCTGGAGATACTGTGGTATCGGGGTTGTGCTGACGGGTCTAGATACCGCGACGTGGTCGCCGACGATTAGTGAGCTTGTGAAGAAGGGAATGGTTGGCGTTAAGCCTTATGATTTGACGTTGGATTACGATTACTGGACTTATGGTGCGTGGGAACGATGCTTCGCTGTGTGGAAAATCAAGGCTAATTGGAGCAGCGGATATCATGTCCTGCATTCTTCCCGAGGACATGCTCGATGAGATCCCTCAGGGATTCACGCAAGTCGGCCATGTTTGTAAGTCCTCTTTATCTTGCACATCTCAGGATCATGCTGACGAACTAGCGCACCTCAACCTTCGCGAGCAATACCTGCCTTACAAGCACCTACTTGCCCAGGTCCTGCTGGACAAGAACCCCAACATCAGCACGGTCATCCGCAAGACCGAGGATGTGGGCTCCCATAGCGAATTCCGCACGTTCCCCTTTGAGCTGCTGGCCGGTGAGAACAACCTGAACGTTGTCCAGCACGAGCAACACTGCGAGTTCCGGTTCGACTACTCGCGCGTGTACTGGAACAGCCGTCTCGAGACGGAGCACCGTCGTCTCGTGGACAAGTTCCGCCCCGGAGAGATGGTCTGCGACGTGATGGCGGGCGTCGGGCCCTTCGCAGTGCCCGCAGGCCGCAAGAAGATCTTCGTGTGGGCCAACGATCTCAACCCCCACGGATACGAGGTGATGCTGGACGCCGTCAAGCGCAACAAGGCCGACAAGTTCGTCACCCCCTTCAACAAGGACGGCCGCGAATTCATCCGCTGGTCTGCCCAGGCCCTCCTGGACTCTCCCCACACCGTGACCATCGAGCCCAAGGTGCGCAGAAGCAAGAAGGCCGCCGCAGAGGAGAAGGGAGAGGCGCTCCCCGCCCCGGAGGTGTTCCATCGCCCTAACGTATTCCATCACTACGTGATGAACCTCCCCGGTAACGCGATTGAGTTCCTCGACGCCTTTGTCGGCGTCTACGCAGGCAAGGAGTCGCTCTTTGCCCCTCACACCTCTCAACCGCTGCCCAAGGTCCATGTGTACTGCTTCTCGGGCCACTCTGCGGACGAGCACGACGACCATGTCGATATCTGCCAGCGTATCTCGGAGCGCATCGGACACACCATTACCACGGAGGACCGCGTCGGCGGCAGCGGCAACCAGGAGATCGATTTGGCCATCCACAACGTCAGATTGGTCAGTCCTAACAAGCAGATGTTCTGCGCCAGCTTCCGTCTGCCAAAGGAGGTTGCATTCCGCCAAATCTAACTTGCTATCGAGAAACTTCCTTGAATTATCATATACGAACGATCTACTTAACGCATAGCATACAGGCGTTTTGGCTATGGATATAGAAAAAGTGCCGATAAAATGTTGAATTGATACCCTTACACATACATTATTGTAAATAACTTACATCCCTTAAAACATACTAGACAAACAGACAGATAAATACATATCATCCCACTCGCCTCCCAACACCTTTATTGTACCTACTTACCATATGGAACCATACCCACCAAGGCGGTCACCCCACTCACCGCCCCCTCATCAAGCTAGTAATCTGCCGGAACAAAACTCAACGCCTCCCCCGATCCCGCACTAACCAACCAACATCACCAACATCAGCAACGACGCGCTATCTCACTTTCCACGACGAGCCACCAGTCAAATCAAATCTACCACCACATTCCCCAAGCCAACAATTACACACATACATATATATAATCAATCAAAATGAGCGTCCAACTCCCCCCCGCCACGCACCGCAAGCGCACCCTCCCACAAGGCGAACTCGAAGCCGCGTCGACGCTGAAGCTCGGCGCGGACCAGAACACGCATACGCTGTCGCTGTCCGAGGCAAGATTGGTTATTAATAAGGTGTTGGAGAATAAGCGGAGGGGTGGGAAGAAGTATGAGGAGCCGGAGTGAGTTGTCCTATCTATCTTTTTATCTTTTGTGGATTGGCTTGGGGAGGAGGCATAGGTGGTTACAGGACTGAAAGGGTTATGGGCTAATACATGGTTTTTGATGGTTAGGAACCTTACGAAAACGCTCGATTACTTGGAGGTGTTTGCGCGGTTCAAGGATGAAGAGAATATCAAGGCTGTCGAGCGGTTGTTGAATTCGCATACCGAGTTGGAGATGTTTGAGCGGTCGCAGCTTGGTATGTTTATCTATTCCTCCGGATGGTTCTTACTTGGGAAGGGGAGAGGAGTGTTGGGGGGGTGTCATGGTCAGCAGCTAATAAACAATAGGAAGTCTGTGCTGCGATAACGCCGAGGAAGCCAAATCGCTCATTCCGAGTCTGCAGCATAAGATCTCGGATGGCGATTTGCAGGAGCTGCTGGATGAGTTGACCAAGTTGCGCAATTTCACGGAGTAGCTTCATCCCTTCTTTATTTTTTTATGCATGTCGTGTTCGTGTACGCTGCTGTACCATATGGCCATTCTATGAGCATGGGGTCTGTTTTTCGGGATAGCATGGAGTTTGGGAGTTATGACGCATAGTTAATTTAACTGTCTGTGCAATAAGACAGGAGAGGGAAGAAAAAAGAAAAAGAAAAAGCAGGGGGTATCGTTAAGAAAAAGGAAAATTGCATTGGCGGTTGCAGGACGATCATGTCGTCATGGGTGGTTATTCTCCTTCTCTCATTCCCTTTGTTTGGGATATGGGACGATATACACAGTAGCTAGTCAGTCACCATCTACTGTGTACTGCATACAGTGTTAGATAAGAAGCAGAGAACATGTGAAAACCCATCCATCCATCAGCAGACCCGAGTCTAGATGACCAACCTACCAGCAAAGAACTACATAGAGTTTAAACAGAGTGGATAACTTCACCAGTTCACCAGCACCATGACCATGCGAAAAGCGGAAGCTTGCCTGTTTAGTTGGTTCAGTAATTGACCGGTTCATCCATCCATTAGTAGTTGGGATGACACGGAAGATAGCTTGAACTGAAAGGAAAATGATCAATCAATCCCATCCATGGGCCTGTTGAGAAAGACTCGACCCGAACTGCTGAAAAAGTCTAATGCAGTATCGGTTGGATAATTGAAACCTCATGAGAGGCCCGAAGGATTGGACTAGATAAAACGCTCTAGTAGTAGTAGATTAGTACTCCATGGTAGTAAGGCAGTGCACGTTGCCGCCGAGCTCCTGCTAATCCAAGTAACAGGGTTGAATGAATGAATAATGGTTGAATGGATGAGAGATGATGTGATCGCCTTCCCCGTTCGGAATATTGAATAATGGGAATTCCTTTCTTAGTTCTTTTCCTTTTTTTATTCCCCCCCGGGAAAGGATGCAGCAGGATGACCTTTACATTAAGTAATGGGAATCCCATTTCCAACTTAACTTTTAGTGTGCAAAGTTGTTGGTTTGAGCTGCACGCGAGCCTAATCTGGATGGGGATTTACATTGATTGATTATAGAAACTAGACTAGTACTAGTACAAGTACTGACGGACTGACTGACGCTCGGTCGGGCTGATTTCTCCCCGGAGATAACAGTTAATCTCGGGTTTGGTGCTTTTCTTCATATTTTTCCCTTACATCATATATTATTTATGGGCCTACTGGAAAAGGACTTGCAACACCCAACACCACCATGGCATAGGAATCAAAGTAATTAATTACAATTATTCCATAATTCGTATCAGGTACTTTCTGATGTCACAACCAATTTTAATGGAACACAAAAAAAAAGCATTCCATCCACCGGCGCTGTGTACTCCGTACCTGAGTCACGAAACCGTCGCGCGGCCGGGAAACCTTAGTCAACGGATACTACGGAGTAGTCTAACTAATTGAGTAGTATACAGGACAAATGGACAAATGTACTACTGCAGCTCAGTCATAACCATTAGATAATGAACAATGACGGTCAGCAGAGATGCCCAAGGGAAGGTCACTTTCCCACCAATCAGTAACCCGGGGATTTTCCCGCCGACCTGCATCATTGATTACTTATTTCATTTCTATAGTAAGTACGGAGTAAGTCGTCAAAAAAGCCCACATGGACTGGACTCATGGGGGGTGGGTTGGACTTTACATGCTTTGCTGGGAAAGCTGTGGGGAAAAGCCGTCCAGCTGCAGGGCCGATCCCCGTTGCCGGTATCGCGCTATGCCGATTTCAAGTCTATTGCAGGGGTTGTGATTGGTGGATGACGAGCGTTATCGGGATGATGTGATTGGGAGCTGTCTCTGAGTAATCCCTGCTTGGTGAGAGGGTTTGAGCATTTCCCCGGCATGATAGGTCGGGAGAAACGGGCACCAGATCATTTATTCACTAGTATTAGATGACTATGTTTAAATAGGGAAACTGTATGTATGTATGCATAATATGTGCCAACAATGAGACCATATGGCATAAGCAGCAAGTCACTATATATACAACTAACTAGTCCTTCAACTCTCGATTAATTTGCGATCTGTTTGACTACTACTTACCTGACGGTAGAATCTCCGGCAATTCTCTCAACCCCAAACTTTCCCGGACGAGAAGTTGCAATTCTCAGTACGTAATACCAAGGCCACCTCGGCAGCCAACCGATCGGGGATCCAATCAGGCGGACGAGGCTTATCTGGACGAGGAGGTGCAAGGGCGCAGGAACTTGAGGCGAAAAGTCGCCGGGTGGCCATCCAGCATGCCTGGCCACCTTTCTGTTACGTGTGGAAAACATCCGCCAGTGTTGATCGATCGCTTCATCCGGAGATTCTCTTATTGATCCTGATGACTGTTTTCCCAATTTCCTGTCTGGTTTACCTCATGCCAATTCCATTACTAGTTATAATCAACTGAATGGACACTGGATGAGATGAAGACCGAGACAGAAAGAGAGGGAGAGTAAAGGGAAAAAAGAGAACTAGAGGGACTGAACCAACTTTTGTGTCATTGTTCTATGACTTTTATCTACTACTATATATGTTCCTGACTACCTCTTCCCTTCTTATACACAACACCTTTTATCTACTACTATCTATTATTATTATTACTACTACTACTTCAGTATCACTCTCTGATAGGAACTGAAGAAAAGAATATTACTACTACACCACACTACTACACTACTACCAACTACCAACCCTACTATTACTATTATCCAGCCAGTGCAGATCCATGGCCCTGATATGATCAGTGCTTACAAGCAATCAGATCCTTCCCTGCTCTCCGCCGTCATCCTATTCCTGTGACAATAATCTTTTATTATCATTCTATTCTTATTACCTACAGCTTTTTATCAGTTCCTTTCATTTCTGGAGTATATCTCCATCTCCCCGAATTTGGGCGGCTCCGGTTCCGCTGCTCTTGTCCACCGCAAGCTTGTACTCCCCGACTTTCTCGTCCCCCCATTCGATCAATTCCCCCCGTTTCAACCCTCCCTTACTTACTACTACTGCCTTCCCTATCTTACCTTACTACTTTACTTCTTACTCTATTTATCAATTCATTCCAATCATTTCAATCAATCAGCATCCGTCGGTCTGCTTACGCCTATTCCGACTGATAAGCTTCTCCCCTGCGGTTCGTACGTGGCTGGCAGGCAACCCGTCCTCTCACTCCGTACTTGCTCTGTTCATTGGTCGGTGCGTTACGATAGACGGGATCACCGCGCGACACTCAAACCACCCCGTCGTCAAGACTGGTCTGCAGTCAAACCCCAGATATTTCCAATCCCAATTTGGTGAGGGGTCCTGGCTTACGCCCTGGCTACTGCTACTACTCCTCTAGCCTTCCTAGCCTCTTTTTTCTCTCTTGTCTCCTGCCCTCCGTGCTTTCCATTGCGGAGCTCGTACGGCGGAGTCTCCGACGGCCCCGGTTCATTTACGTGACAAGAATCCCCATTGATTGTTGTCACTATCGCCCATCTCTGATTAAAATTATTGTTTCTGTGACAATTTGTGAGATTTTGGGCCTGCGAGTCTCGCCGCCTATCTACGCATCTCCGGCTTGTCTCCCCGGTTTGCTCCTGCAGTGGCCACTCTTGAGTTGGCGTTGCTTATCGCTCCATCCGGTTTATCTTTCGACCTGTCCATTCAACCCCCTCTGAATGGCTGCCGTTATCACTCTCCAGTCGTCCTCGACGACGGGGCCAACTGCCCCCTCTGCAGCTGCCTTTCAACAGTCGCCTGCTTCTGACCACCACCACCACCAACTCCTTCGACCCCGGGTCCAGCAGCAGCAATCCCAACCCCAGCCATCACACGCCCCCCAACCCGGTTCCATATCCACGCCACAGTCGCCGGCTTCATCCATTGGCACCCTCCCCCGTGTGACTGCAGCAGGCCGGGATGCGCCCAGTTGCGACGCCTGTGTGCGCAGAAAGAGCCGGTGTGCTATCAACGAAATGATCAATAAATGCTATTCGTGCGACTTCCACCGCCAGGACTGCACCTTCACCTTGTCCGTGACGAGTCGCCCCGGCACGGCGGATGTCACGTCGAAAAAACGTAAATTGGACGACGCCGATGCCGAAGAAGTGGAATCTCCTAAGAGGTATGATTTCACCGGGGCGTCCTCAAGGCCGATCTCGGACGTCCCTGCCCTGAATCTCAATTCGGAACGCTAATTTGGGTACCCGCTGCCAGGCAATCTACTACTCTTCCCCCAGCCTCCAACAAACCAGACAGCTCTTCCCGCCCTACATTGAACAACCACCACATCCTCACGCCGGCCTTTTGGTTCCAATCCACTCAGCATATCGGCCTCACCACTGAACTCGAGCCCGCCCTCCTCGAGTTCTTACCCTTGGACCAGAACAACGAAGGGTGTGTGGCCTCGTCTCGCGTGCGCAAGTTCGGTGACGACGGCACCTTCATGAGGGTGGTCAACACCCGTTCTCACGCGGACTCCCCGCAAACCGCTACGCTCGATGCCATTGAAAGCCTGGTCGCCCCTTATGGCTCCACCTTGGTGGAGAAGTTCTTCGAGCATGTCCATCCTAGCTTTCCAATCCTCATGGAGGATAGCTTCCGTCAGTCCTACCGGGCACGGACCGGGCTGACGCCGTTGCTATTGTCCGCCGTCTATGTGTTGGCGTTGAAGTTCGTTGATGTCGGCTCGGCCTCGCAGTCCGTCCGACGGCCGGATGCCGGCCGGCTGGAGAGCACGGCCCTCAAGCTGCTGACCGAGTCCCTACCCTATGCGTCTATGTCGACTGTGCAAGCCGGCCTGCTGCTCATGCAGCGGTCCAACCTCGCCACAGCGGCCTTGAATGCACAATTGGTGACCGCCGGGTTCGAGCTGGGCCTGCACCAGGACTGCTCTAATTGGCGGATGGAAACGTGGGAGAAGGGTCTCCGGAAACGCTTGGCATGGGCACTATATATGCAGGACAAATGGTCCGCTTTGGTGCATGGCCGTCCATCTCACATTGTGTCTTCCAATTGGATGGTTCAGGACCTGGTGGAACAGGATTTCACCGATGCCTTCTCGGGTGCATCCGCCCACGATGATGCGCCCGTCGGCCATGGTCCGTTGTCCTTCTGCCACATGGTGGCCTTGACGACAATATTGTCCGATATTCTGGATCGTTTCTATACTCTTCAAGCGATTGAGGAATTCAGGACGGCCGGGAACAACCGTACCCGCATGATCCTGGAGCGCGCCAAGCCGGCTCAGATCCGGCTGAAGGAGTGGTTTGGTCGCCTACCCACCCAGCTGAAAATGGACTCGGGCGGTGATATCTTCGAGACGGTCAATGAGGACAATTCCCGCAACGGTGCTTTGCACCTGGCCTATTTCGCCACAGAGATCACTCTCCACCGCTGTATTGTGCGGTCCCTCTCCCAGGACACCGCTGACGCCTACCTCTCCCATATCTGCCGCTCTGCCGCCAAGACTCGCCTGATTTCCGCCATGGACTTTGTCAACCGTCTTCGCCCGATGCATCTGAGGTCATTCTGGCCGGCCGCCGCGCGGACGAACTTTGCCCTCATCGGATCCTTTGGTGTGTTGCTTCGAGTCACCGCTCCCACCAAAGAAGAGTCGGAGTTCTACCGTCTCCGACTGTGCGAATACCGGTGGACGCTGAGTGTGAGCAAGAAGGACGCCGAGTTCCTTGAATTCGCACTGGAAAGCCTTGACAGCGCGACCAACCTCGATCACTACGTCCCGGAGAAGCCCGGTATCGATGAGCTTATGACCAGCGCCGCTAAGCCTACCATTAATGCTTCCCGCTCGGGCGCGAACGCCCAGCTGGAGGACTCGATGGTCGAGCTGGAACAAACTGGCGAGAGCGGACGCGGGGGTACCTCGTCCGTTATCTCGGGTCTCGCATCTCCTGCAACCTCGATCAGCGACGACAGTGTACAAGACGCTTCGATTCCCCCGCTATAATCTTTATCCCCTCTTCTTCACACTCCAACAATCATACGGCCGACGCGACACGCGTCCTTACGCTCACAAACAACCTTTTGATGCCCTTGATGACCACAACTACCGCCTTCGCATCTTTGATTACCGATCTGGCGCATTCTGTGATTATTTATCCGACCTCGATGTTTTCCCGGGGTTTCCATTTCTTGATACCTTGACTGTTATATGTTTGGCTGCACTCGCTTGGAGTTGTGCGTTGTGCTTGATGATGATCGATCACTGTTTTGATTCTTACGAACTAATTCCCCACCCGGCTGGATGACTGGATGAATGACTGCACTTCCGGCATGCATTGTATGTACATATGGGTTTGCTCTTGTTCTTTTATTTCTCTTTATACTCATGATGGATCCGGGACTGGATGGATAGTTATAGACTGGTTTGGCCATGGGATGGATAGATAGCGTGGATTTACTTTATGGACTGTCACGGTCATGGTCATAAAATTGCATTCTTTGATCAATATTGCATGGTTGTAGGTGCTTCGTTCGCATGTAGAAGACACAGATGACATTCGAGACATGTAAGCTAGGATAATAACTAGTAACTAGCAGATAGATACTAACTACACACTGCATCTCTCAAGCTGGTCCCATATCCTTCTCTTACTACTACCTTAATATCCCTACTCAGGCAGTTTTTAAGTACTAACCAAACAAAGCCCCCGTCAATCAATATACCTAGGATCCCATCTACCTACCTACCCACCCAGAAAACAAATCACATACAATCTCTCTCTTCCAAAAACCTATCTACTTCCACACAAAACAAATATCACACCGCATCCTCACCCACCCACTTCCCTTACTATACCTCAAACCAATATACATCCATCATACTAATTAAAACACTTCATAAATCCCATACAAAATAGGTGGATTAACCCGCAGAAGTTGTAAACAAAAAACAATTTAGAAAAAATAAACACGAAATGAAATATTAACTACGGACTAGCTAGGCATGAAACATCTCACGTCGCAGACACACACCCACCACACCAGGTAAATGTAGCTTGAAAGCTTGAAGGCTCCGCTTTTCTCCCCCTTCATCATCTAGCGGATTTTTATTAACATTTCTGGAATAGTCAGATTTGGGGGGATGTTCGAGTTGTGGGATATTTACTAGTAAGTACTGTACTATAATTATTTATTTTGTTTGGGTGGTTTATTAAGGATGGGTTGTGGCGCAGGCTAACTACTACTACTAGTTGGACTAGCAAAGTATCCCGAGTAAGTTGTTTGTGCAAGTCTAGTACTACTTAGTCTAGGTGATGCCTCGATACGGGGATCATATCATCATCATAGTACTACGTTAGTAGTAGGTAGCGATTTCTGCTGCAGAGATGGTAGATGGTTTGGTTACAGAGACTACTGTTTATTACGATTAACCCCAGAGTAGGAGGGAAAAAGAAAAAAAAAAAGAAAAAAAAAAAACTTTGTTTGTCGACCACAGCCTATATAGTGAGTGCACTTACTAGCAAGAAATAGGAAAACTTCATTATTTATCATCAAGACCCCAAGAAAAACGAAAAATCGCTGCCCCCACTCCCAAACGCAAAGTCCTCCAATATCGTAGGATCAACCAAATTAGCCAATATCTCGGCACGAGTATCAGGCTGCGAATCCTGATTAAACAGCGAGAAGAAGAAGTCGCTGTCTGTGCTGGGTGGGACCATTCCTGTGAGGTTATCCGCCCGATTTTGCACCGCTGTTGGGTCAGTAGCAGCAGCAGTGGCAGTATCTATACCAAGACTTGTGGGCGGGGGAGCTAGCATTGATGTATGTGCTGCTGCTGACGGTACGAGGGAAGAACGACGGCGTGCGACACATGCGCGCGCGACTTCGAGAACCTCGCGGATCATTTCGGCACAGCGGCGCGCGACGACGATGTTGTTCATGGATTCGAAAATGTCGAGGCTTTTTTCGACGTCGAGGAGGAGGTCTTCGTCGCGGATGCTGGGGAAGCCGGAGAGGACGAGGTGGAGGAGGATCATGGCGCCGTAGAGGGCGTAGGTTGTGTTGTACCACCTGTTGGCTTTCGTTAGTTGGGGTTGTTTTGGAAGGGGGGAAAGGGGGGAGGTTACCAGGTTCGAATGTAAATTCTATGTAGGAAGGATTCGTATTGCATCTGGATGCTGGTTCTTGCAGCGTCGAGGCAGGTGTGTAGGTGTTGGAGTAGATTAGAGGACTCGGTGCTGGATGCTGATGCGGCGAGGAATGGTCGGTGTATTAGGATGCGGGTGTTGTAGAATCCTGTACTTACTTAGTGAACTGGTACTTGGTTATGGACAGAGCTGTTGTAACTTACTTAGTCTCAAGACTAGCTTCTGTTTAAAGGCCCATTCGGTGTCGTTGAGTGAAGCCGCATCAATATCCAAGAAGTGCGGCAGTGTGGCTTTCCATGCGAGCAGTTTGTTGTCAAGACTCATTGCGATCTGCGACATTTCGCTCATGGACCGCTTCGGTGAGTGATAGAGGAGATGGGATGCTTCAGACATTATTTGGGCCAGAGCTACCATCGCTGGTATCATAGCGACGTGGTCGTCTTCTGCATCGGGGTCGAGTAGATTACCAGGCGTGGCCTATACAAAGATCAGCAGATGTACGCAAGTGTTGTGGCAGGGTATTGCACCCACCTTCAGCGTTGGTAGTGAAACCTGATAATATTGGAGATCTTTCATGCTGTCTAACCGCCCCGAGGAACAGCACATCTCACTACATCAGGTTAGTGGAGTTGCATAGAATATGTAGTTAAGAGTACTGACATTTCGTGAGAGTAGATACACCTATTTATATTAGCTGCCTGAGTACAGATGAAGGAGCAATGCACTCACCACCAAGTCCTTCTGCCCTCCTTCCGTGTATCAAGGGACACAGACGACATGCCCGATGCCAGCCCAATAGCGACTGCAGTCCTTACTGCCATGCCGCTGTACATGAAGCAGCTATGCGGTCGCAGCGCATTTTGACAGAAGACACTCTAGTCACGAATCAGCAACAGATGGTAAAATTTCAGCATGAGTACTACCCACCAGCAGCAAAAGAGCTTGTGCACTCTCTAGGCTACAGCTCTCAAACAAATCACCTAGCGCTTGTTTCGCCTTTCCAAAGTAGTAGTCTGCAAAGTCTAATGACGAAGGCTTGCTCGTAGCACCGGGCTTGCCCAGATAAGGAAGGTAATTGCAATAGTGATCAAGCAGAGCTGTCTCGTGCGGGCTAGCGTTTATGGCACCCAGAGCAACCACGGAGAAATAGAGTCCTGAGAACTTCGATATTCCGCGTAAGAATCCTGGCCGCCTGGGCAGGACAAAAGCTTCATTCTCACAACGCCGCATAAAGTTCGTCTTGCACAGCATAGGATGAATATAATGCTTGTTGCAAAAGTAGCTGCTGATGAACATTTTCTCGATTTCCAGTTGTGCCTCATCTGAAAGCCTGTCAATTAGAGGTGTCAACTCATACCGGTGATCTGCCTTATAGTCAGGTTGCTGTCACGGAAGTAGATCTAGAGGCTTAACTTGCCCACATAGCTTGGAGCATTAGCTCTGGTGCCTTCGGTGTTCTCCTTTCTTCCCTGTCTATCATCTTCGGCTCCTCCGTTGATCTGCGGTGGGGAGTGACTAGGGTATTTCGGATTATACAGCAGGTTCACTATCGAAAGCTGTGCCTTGTTCGTCTGTGAACTTTCCGACTGCTTGTCTGCTGGAGAGTTGGGGGTCAAATGGTCTGCGGCTGCCTTGTCTGATAAAGAATTGAGTACCGCATTAGTTCCACCGTTCGTCGGGAACGAAGGCTCGTTGTCGGGAATGGTTAAAGGCTTGGTCTCTGCATGATTACGTGCCCGAGCATATAGATTTCCCAGGAATGCAAGATTCGACGAATTGCCATAGAACTCCGTGCCATTGGTATGGAGATTGACCCCACTCAGACCGTCTCGGGATGCTGAGTCGCATAGCTCAGGGGTAGCAGCTAAAGAATAATCAGATTTAGGAAACACTTGCAGTGCCGGAAGGTCTTACCAACTATGCTATCATCATCACGTTTAGGGGTAAAAACAGTAGGTGAGCTAGCATTGATATTGCCAACGCTTCGCGCAACTCGTGGGGTATAATGGTCCGGAGAGTCACTCTGGTGGAAGCCATTTTGATTGCTCTGGCTCACATCTGGCCATGGTGATGGGCGGGTCTTCGATCTGCTTGTACGTTAGATCCAATAGACGGACAAGCGATAACGAATAAGAGATCTGAGCAACACAGCGCAATGACATACTTTTGAGCTTCTCGGATTTGCGCCTGCCTCTTTGCTGCTGATGAAGCCTCATTGGGGCCAGCAGCGCGATAGAAGCAGTCCAGTGAATGGTCTAAGAATGAACTGTCAGTATGCGATTCGCCTAGAGGCAGTTTGGCTGAGACTGAGAGCCGGCAAGGCCGGGATTGCATACAAGCACAATAGGAACACGGTTGGGCTTGGTCGCACTGCCATTAGAACGTCAGTGAGGAGTCATTGAGCAATCAATATTGATAAGCGACTGGCAATTTGCAATAGATGCAGACGCGACGAAGCAAGAGGTGGACGACGCACCTTGGTCTTGCGCACCCGACAAGTCTCGCAGGCACGTGAAGCACGCGGCGGGCGCCGACGAGAAGCCCGGAGTTTCGCCGTCACTGGCTGAGAGTCGTTGCCGCCGTCCATGCCTTTCTCAACAAGTAAAGGCTTCATCTAAACCCGATCGTATGATTATCGTGGTGTTCATGCCGCTTGCTGCTGTTGTTGTTGGTCAGTCCTCCAGCTGATTAGCTTGCTCCACACTAACTTGGGTCGGCAACGCTAAGATTGGCCTTTAAACCAAAGCCCGGCTGCGATCGCCACCAACCGATGATGCCATTCCACAAATGAACCAGGAACAACCGCGTCACAGCCATCCGGGGTTTCGCGGGGTCTGGGGTCATTCAAGACAATGCTCGTCTCTCGGCATTGCAGCCTTGGATGATCCACGCTTACGGATATACTCATGATGAGGCAGGACTACGCATTCTGGTCAATGCTTAATGCTCCTGCTGCTAGCCCGGAAATATGATTATCAACTCGCCCATCATCAGTGGCCAACTATGACGGTCCCAGTAGGGGCTATGATAGCATGCAGCTGTGTTCAACAAAACACTGCCTGGTCTGTAGCCCTGCTCGCGGGCCTGCAGTTCCAGTTAAAACAAGCTTAGATGCCCCGATATAGTTTGATCACATTGACAGGACTCTTAGTCGTCATGAGAACTTGCTGTTGCAAGTTGACTGCGTACACTGAATGTATTCGCATCGTTGATTTGCACAACCACTGCGTCTTCAGTCCCAACTCACATGCATAGTAGCTCTACTCTAAAATCCTATGCGCCTTGCAACTTATTCACCGGCTCGGCTCTAGGAAATATAGTTCCCTCCACAGAAGTCAAGCCGTGCGGTGAACACGACGGAATAACGGCATTGTTCGCTATTAACAAACAAGACCCTATTCACCTTTCGCATCCATCTTATCCGAACATTGCACAAAAGCAAGGGAGTGTGCGGAATAAGATTTCCAGAACTCCAGGCATACCAAATAATCGGCAACCTAAAGACGTGGTTGCCACGAGCTCCGCCAATGTATGTTCGTCCGACGGAAGACCCGCCACACCCATATATCCGCTCCGACGGATCTCTCTACACCTTACTCCCAGCTGCGATTATCGGCCCGGACGGCACAAATGACGTTCAATACACAATAATCACAATTGCCCCGCGTTATGAAGTGCGGGGGAAGCATTTGTGGGATCAATTCGGTGTCTAAAATGGCTATAACCGAGAACCATTGGGGGCGGGCGAAGTATAAGAGACGGACTACCACGTCTGGCTGAACCGCTCAAGCAACGGTCTTCCCAACCTATCTCATATCTTTCATCATCAGAATTCACAATGTCTGAGCAACAATCAAACGGAGCTTCTCCCAAGGTCACTGGCCTCAGTGAGCGCACCCGCGCCAAATGGGCGTCCGCATCGACGCCAGAGGAGATCGCGGCCAACTTGCCCCCCATGCTCGATTTGACCATTGAGAACATCACCGAGAATGTCATGAAGATCAACTCCATGTGTGACAATCCTCGCATGCGGTACCTCATTCTGAAGTTGATCCAAGCCGCCCACGACTACATCCGGGATGTCGGTCTTCAATTCGACGAATGGGAGCAAGCGTGGCAATTCCTGACCAGAGTACGTATCTGTCTTTATCACCACCAAACCACCCGTTAACACAACTGTCATAGGTCGGTCAAATCTCAACCGACGTCCGTCACGAATTCGTCCTCCTCTCCGACATCCTGGGTATCTCGGCTCTCGTCGACGCCCTCTCCTACCCCACCGTGCCTGGCGCAACCGAGTCCTCCGTGCTCGGCCCCTTCCACGACGAAGAGGCCCACTCATTCGAATACGGAGAGTCCATCACTGCAGAGGGCACACCCGGGGAGCCCACAATCGTGCGGGGCTGGATCAAAGACACGGAAGGCAACGCCGTGCCCAAGGCTTTGATCGACGTCTGGGAAACCGACGGCAACGGCGTATACGACCTGGAGTACGACGGATCAGAGGACCCCAACTGCCGCGGAAAGATCTTCTCCGACGAAAGGGGCCACTACCTCTTCTCCTGTGTTAAGCCCGTCGCTTACCCCATCTCTAATGACGGTCCCGTCGGAGAGCTCCTGCGGAAGCTGAAGCGCCATTGGTTCCGTCCTGCTCATATGGTGAGCCATCTCCCCTTCAATCATTCATACCCACAATCGTGTACATTGACTAACGGATAATGTAATAGCACTTCATGGTCGCCCACCCCGAATACACCAAGCTCATCACGGCCCTGTACTCCCGCGACAGCAACTTCGTGGAGAGCGATACCGTGTTCGGCGTCAAGAAGAGCCTGATTGTGGATTACAATTGGTGCGAGGATCTGGAGCTGGCTAAGCAGCATAATGTGGAGCCTATGGTTAAGACGATTGATGGATGCGAGTCGAAGGGGTTCTGGCTCTTGGAGCGTGACTTTATCCTTGTGAAGAAGAGTCCTCCTCCGCCTCGTAAGACGGAGGATTTGGATTAGATTGTATGGATTACTGTTTAAGAAGATAAGAATATGTTTGTCTTTAGCATTATATAAAGTATGATAGCGCAATAAATGTTTGAGTGTCTGATTTGTGATATGGTTGATTTTCTTTCTTCCACTGTGGTTATGGTGGAAATAATCAGACTAATCTCATGGGTAGTGTCATAAATTGATATTAATCCTGCTCTATGTCTTGCAACTATATCTTTGATTAGCAAATCTTCAACTACTAGTTACAAATCAATGCCTCATGGTTGTGTTGACACTATGTGTCCAATTTGATTTACACATTACAAATACTTCACGATCCAGAGGTCCTCATCCATCCCGAATTGTCGGCACACGGCACCAGAGACTCTCACCGGGCCAGAGTATCATAGTACTCCGTGCCGACTAGACGAACAAAGGTACACTATGCCCCAGTTACCCTTCCTGGAAACGACTGTGGAGAGGAAGTAGATTTAATATCCGACGGGTTGTTTTGGGGTTTAGAGCTCGATCCGATTGGTTTGTCCGGGGGCAAGCTTCCCCGGATTGATATTCACCGCGGAGGTTCATGCCGGTTCGTCCATCACAATCGATACGGAGGTAAGTGGTGTATATGGTCGAGTGATTTTAATCCTTTCGAGTGTAGTAAGAAAACATTACCTTATCTCTGGAGCAAGGGGCTTTAGAGTGTGTGGTGCCTATATAGATACCACTATCGACTATCTTATCAGCGCGGCTCTCTTCAGTGGCTGGTTATCGGACATTTGTTGCGCTTGCACCATCAGGATCCGGCCAGAACTACTGTTCCGAGGCACTCCTCATTAGTGCATAGCCGGTCAGCACGCCAAGTTCCAGATTATCCAAAAAACAATGTGCAGTTCTCGAATGAAATGTCAGACAAATGGCATCCGATTCCGACGGATGAAAGTCCGAGCCCTGCACGGACGGATACTCACGGCTCTCGGCGATGACGATTGAGCTGCAGTCCGGTGGCTCCTGCTAATGAGCTGATAGCCCGATATGGCGATTGCATGCTTATCGGGATGGATAGCGAATTGAATCGTTTAATGCAGGATATATAGTGCTGTACGTAAGGGATATAGGCTGAAGTGTGACTTGTTGAGTAGTTTCCTTGGTACCGCTATATATCCCATGAACCCCGCCGGCATCTTGCCGAACTGCTTTATCCATCGTTGGCTCGCTAGTTGTTGCTCATATATCACGAAGTACCTCGTCGTTTATGTATCGTTTGATCTCGCGTTCTTCGTCTCATCCCCTTCAGAAGCAAATATATACACCCACACGACGATATAATATACGGCTATATACCAGTATGGACTGGAACCAAGATAACCTGCGGGCCGGGTTCTGCCATGCTCTCTCGAATATGTATAAGAGCGAAGTCCCCCTTTACGGGGACCTGGTGGACCTGGTATGGAAGGCGGATGCAGAGGCAATTAATAGAAGTCGAAGATTAGGAGGCGCAGATGCCATTGACCCTGACGAGGTATTGCCCTCCAGAAACCGTGTCGAGAGACATGGTGCCATCCGCTTGGGAACCGCGCAGGAGCTAGCCACGGTCAGGCGTATGTTCGCTGTCATGGGCATGTATCCTGTTGGATATTATGATCTGAGTGTCGCTGGGTTCCCGATGCACGCTACCGCATTTCGACCAAGGACAAGGGAAGCCCTGGCCAGGCATCCGTTCCGAGTGTTCACGACCGTCCTGCGCATGGACTTGCTGACGGAGAGGACACGAGATCTGGCACAGAGGGCTCTAAAACAGAGAAACATCTTCACCGACCGCTTGGTGGCTTTGATCAACCACGCTGAGGTACAGGGCCACCTCACCCCTGATGAGTGCAAGGAGTTCATCACCGAAGGGCTGGAAACCTTCCGATGGCACTCCAAGGCAACAGTGACGCTTGAAGAATACAAGATTCTCAAGGAGGAGCACCCGTTAATCGCCGACATTGTATCTTTCCCGAGCTGCCACATAAACCACCTTACTCCTCGAACCATTGATATCGACCTTGTTCAAAAGATGATGCAGGACAATGGTATGCCGGCGAAAGAACGAATTGAAGGACCTCCGCGACGCGATTGCCCCATCTTACTACGCCAGACCAGCTTCAAGGCCCTGGAGGAGACGGTATACTTCCGTGATGCTAATGAGGCATATGTCAAGGGATCCCATACAGCAAGATTTGGCGAAGTTGAACAGCGTGGCTATGCTCTCACGCGGAAAGGCCGGAAGCTGTATGATGACATCCTCGGTCAGGTTAACAGAGAAGCGGCAGAGACAGCAGCTGACCCTGATAAATATGAGGAAATCTTGAGGAAACACTTTGAAGGATTTCCAGATGACCTCCGTGAATTGCAAATGCAGAAACTAGCATACTTCTGCTATCGAACAACACCCAAGAGTAAAGAAGGATTTGCATCAGAAGAGGCCAGTCTCAGCCAGCTATTGGAAAATGGCATTCTCGAGTTCGAGCCCATCACATACGAGGACTTTCTTCCCCTATCTGCCGGAGGTATCTTCAACTCGAATCTAGGCAACACATCGCAGTCCAAACGGCTGATCATGGAGGCGGATGCCGACCTAGATGGGTTCCAGCAGATGATGGGAACTCCGACGGTCGATGAAATCAGTCTTTATGAACAGATGCAGAAGGACAGCCTTGAAAGCTGCCGGGTGGAGCTAGGATTGAAGAAGCTTCTGGAGTGAAGATCAGCTTTTTATGTTGTGTGTTAAGATATAAGCGTATAATCCTCAGATTTCTGCAAGCTATAAAGGTCAATGGTAGCATCTCTTGTTGACACAATTCTATTCGTTGTAGATCGGAGGTGATGTCTTTAGAAAGGAATTGATGGTATTGGAGTACAAGCTCACTCCTTCCCTTCCTGGACTGCCCACTTGCCTTCTTCTGTTCACTATCTTTCTTCTCTTCCTTAACTTCCCTTCCTTCCATCTTCCATCCATCGTATTTCAACATGCAGTTGCTATTCATTTCATTGCTCTGTATCTTTACATTGTTGCTATCACGCTGCTAGCTCTAGTCCACCCTTTGATCATTCCAGTGTTGTCCTGCAACTGATAGTCTTTGGGGCCCACCGCTTGTTCTAAAGGCAGTTCAGTCCCCTCTTAGCGCAATCATGATGCAATTGCTTGGGGCCTTGCTGGCTCTGGCAGCTCTGACCATTGCACACGATGGCCCTGATCTCGATCTCTTCGACTACGACCAACGTGGGCCTCTCTTGGGAACTTGGTTCGGTATACCCGGCCAAAATGCAACCTTTGACTATATTGTTATAGGTGGAGGCACTGCCGGGTTGACTATTGCCAGTCGGCTGGTCAAGAGCGGATATCTCAGTGTGGCCGTTGTTGAGGCAGGCGGTTTCTATGAACTCGACAACGGTGACCTCTCTGTAGTCCCAGAATACTCGACCTTCTTTTCCGGATCAGATATAAGCGATTTCCAGCCTTTGGTCGATTGGAATTTCATGACCCAACCCCAGGAGGGCCTAGGCAATCGCACACTTCATTATCCGCGCGGGAAAACGCTAGGAGGCACTTCAGGAAGAAACTACATGTATTATCATCGCCCTACCATAGGCAGTCTGCATAAATGGGCTGAAGAGGTCGGAGACAAGAGCTATGAGTTTCCCAGCATGCTTCCCTACTACAAGAAATCAGTGCATTTTACTGCTCCGAATGAAAAGCTTTTCATCAATTCGACGAACATACAAAACCCAGAAGCTTTCAGCTCAACCGGTGGTCCCCTAGAAGTCTCGTCTGGTAACTTCGTCGACGGCTTTGGAACTTGGTTTCGCAAAGCACTTATTGCTCTGGGTCTGAAGCAGACTGAATTCAATAGCGGCAATCTTTCAGGCTCTGGTTACATGACCCTAACCATCAATCCTATCAATGCTCATCGATCTTCGTCAGAAACCAGCTTCTTGCAATCGACACTCAACAGTGGCCTAGGCCCTGTGGTGTATCATAAGACACTTGCGCAGAAGATTTTGTTTGATAATCATAGAGTCGCAACTGGCGTCCAGGTTGAAACGGCTGGGACCTTTGGCATTCCCCCAGTTAACTTCACCCTAAGTGCTCAAAAGGAGGTTATACTGTCGGCAGGAGCCATTCAGTCCCCTCACTTACTTATGGTGTCAGGAATTGGCCCACATGACCAACTTTTCCGGTTCAACATCAGCTGCATCAGTCATCTCCCGGGCGTCGGCCAAAACTTACAAGATCATCCCACAGCCGGAACGACGCACCGAGTGGATGTTCCAACTGTAGCCTCGTTAGCTGACGATGACACTCTAGTGGAGTCGAATGTCAAACAATACATTGTGAATGCTACTGGTCCACTGTCCATCCCTGGGCCAGGGTATTTTGGATGGGAGAAACTACCCAAGCCCTACCGCTGGCGCCTTTCGAATGAATCTATCCAAGCACTCTCGACCCTGCCAGACGACTGGCCAGAAACCGTGTATACCCCCATTGGTTATCCACAGCCTAAAAATGCGAGTGCCGGTCAAATATATGCCACCATTAGCTTCGTCAACGTTGCACCTTTCTCCCGCGGTAACATATCGCTAGCAGGTCCAAACATGACAACTCCGCCCATCATCAACCCTCAGTGGCTGGCAAACACTACGGACATGGAGATAATGGTGGGCGCTTTCAACAGGAGTCGCCAGATTTGGGCGAAATTGGCCGACCTAGGCGTCGCTGATCCAGTAGAGGTCTCACCGGGAACCAATGTGACGACATATGACCAGATACTCGACTTCATTCGCAGATCATTGACAACCATCTCACATGGATCTTCAACTTGCAAGATGGGAAGGAAAGAGGATCCAATGGCAGTCGTGGATAGCTCCGCACGGGTGTATGGGGTTCAGAAACTGAGGGTTGTTGATGCGAGCAGTTTTCCGTTCCTACCTCCGGGGGCTCCTCAGTCAACAGTTTATGCTTTTGCAGAGAAGATCGCTGAGGAGATTCTGTACGGGTTGTGATTGGAAACGCATCAAAGGCGACGACTAGAGCAGATGCCGTGGCTGCCTATATATCATCCTTAGGATAGACGTTATATCAATAACAGCCTTTCATTGTTAGTGGGTATAGCTTGCTTGAATGTTTCTTCCTACTAGATGGTCAGTAACAACGGCTGCTAAAGGTACACCCGGTTTGCTGGCTTCGAGGACACGGAATTTCAAGGAGCAACTAAACATTCGAAACCCAATTATACAATAAAATACAATTGCACTCCTCAATGTGCATAACAGAAAAGTCCTATCTGTACATGGTATACCGCTCTACGCGGTTCCAACCAATGGATATAACACAGCATAAAATCCATACCCATCTAAACATAGGCCTCTAAAAAAGGCTCGGCCCACGTCTTGCTCAAATTTTGCGAAATCTTCAAGTCCCTTTCCCTCAATCCGAGACCTACTCCTTAAGCTCAACATTGGCCGCAGAATCAGCGCTCTGCACCACAACCGCACCCTCCTGCAACAACTCCTCCGCCGTCTTAACCTTAACATCCATAACCCGCAGGATAGTATAACGATGCTTGCTCGTCACCTTCTGCACATGACGGCGTCTCCGCTTCGTCTTCTCCGTGATGCGCAAAGGCTCCGACTCGAAGCCCATCACCCGGACCCGGCACTCAAACAACCGCTCATCAAGGTACTTCTCGCCGCCCTTGAGCGAGAACTCACGAGAACCGAGCACCGACGCCCGGTTAAACCGAAGGACATCGCCCGATTTTACCTTGGGCATGAGGAAAGGCAGACGCAGCTGATCACCTTCGGTAAGCAGGTAAGGTCTGTCGTGGAGGTGGGCGGTAATGTAGTGCGGCTTTTGCGAGGTGAGGTAGGGCAGCATGTCGAGGAGGGATTGAGACACTTTCAATGGAGCGTCGAAGGTCGGGGCCACGGGCTGTTTGTTGAGAGGCACATCGGCGCGGGTTTCGGGAATGGTGTTCTGGGGCGTCAGAAAGTGAGGTTGTTCGATGGGACTGGAGGTTTGGGCCCGGGGAGTGGCACTGAGGGGAGCGGAGGGGTGTGATGATGTTGTTGTAGAGTAAGATGTGGTGGTGGCTTGGTGAAGGCAGGCACGGAAGGTGGTGTTGCTGGCGCCGGCGAGGATGGAGGATCGGGCGGCGGTGTGCTCGATGGGCAGGGCAAGTGCCCGTGCCAGTGTGGTTCGAGAGAACATGGTTGTGTGTAGTAGAGACTAGGAGAGGGAGGGAATTGAGGCGATTGTTGACCTTGACCGTGCCGTGCCTGGACTCCGAAGCGTCTCGCAGGATGAAATTCCGGACGGAGAGAGATAAAGTGCTCCACGTGACTTATCGGAGTGCCAAGACCCAGTCCCGTTGCCGCCGCATCGAACTTTTTTGTCTTGTCAAGACACTTCGGGCTCCGCCGTTGTTTGATATCAACTTGTTTTTGACTCGCTTTCTCGCGGTTGATTCATCATGGTATGATTGTGATGTTCTTTGAAATGTATAGTATCTGGTTTTGCTAACTGATTGTTCCGTGTGCAGCCTCAGAACGAGTTCGTCTCACTTCCCCCACCCATGCCCCCAAAGCTGGGCCCCGACCCGAGCTGTTTTTCCACCGCCGGGGAATCCTTATATCGAAGCAACGAACAAAGCATACTGATGAGGGGAATAGGTATATCGAACGCTGGCAGAAGCAGCACGGTAAGCGGCTCGATCACGATGAGCGTGTCCGCAAGCGCCAGGCTCGTGAATCGCACAAGCAGTCCAAGGATGCGCAGAACCTGCGCGGCCTGAGGGCCAAGCTGTACCAGCAGCAGCGCCATAAGGAGAAGATCCAGATGCGCAAGCGCATCAAGGAGCAGGAAGAGAAGAACGTCAAGTCTTCCGCTCCCGATGAGCCGTCCAAGACTCCTCTGCCCCAGTATCTGCTTGATCGGTCGCAGGCCACCAACGCCAAGGCCCTGTCCAGCGCCATCAAGGACAAGCGGAATGAGAAGGCTGCTAAGTTCGCTGTGCCTCTGCCTAAGGTCAAGGGTATCAGTGAGGAGGAGATGTTCAAGGTCGTCAACACCGGAAAGAAGACCCACAAGAAGTCCTGGAAGCGCATGATCACCAAGCCTACTTTCGTCGGTAGTGACTTCACCAGACGCCCTGTCAAGTACGAACGGTTCATTCGTCCTATGGGTCTGCGTTACAAGAAGGCGAATGTTACGCAGTATGTTTATCCCCTTTCCTTTTATTCTGTTTGTTATGGGAGTCGTTCAACTGACGTAATGGCTTTTTTTCTTCCCAGCCCCGAACTGGGTGTCACCGTCCAGCTTCCCATCCTTTCCGTCAAGAAGAACCCCCAGAACCCTCTGTATACCCAACTGGGTGTTTTGACCAAGGGTACCATCGTTGAAGTGAACGTTTCCGAACTGGGTCTCGTCACCACCAGCGGCAAGGTCGTCTGGGGTAAATGGGCGCAGATCACCAACAACCCTGACATGGACGGCACTGTCAAGTGAGTTTTCCTCTTCACATCTTGCCTTATAACTTATGATACTAATACTATATCACTACAGCGCTGTTCTCCTTGTCTAAACACCTCTTCTCATCCATGATTATGAATCCCGCTCTATTCCTTCATATCATCATACCATATCCCTCCCTATCTCAAAATATGCCCTGGTTGCGTTGGTTTGTGTTCGTCTTCACATAGACTATATCAGTGGGTGTGGCGTTAGCGGCGCGCAAAGTATCCGTCTTGTTTCCCAATTTTCATATTCATTTGCCGAAAAGGATCCCTATTTGTCTACTTTCTGATGTGACTTGAAATTGCTCGCTGAGGCGAGTGCGCGTACCAATTAAGTATCCCAAATAAATGAAGCTTGATTTGGACCTGAGTGGTAAACATATCCCCATACTAGAAGTAACTACTAGCACTACGTAGGATTCATCTCGAGACGATCATCTACGGCATATCCGGAATCGCACAAAGTGATATATGTATATTAGTATATTCCAATTATACTCTTAGACCAAACTCCAAATACCCATGCTGTTTCTGGATCCCACAGCTTCCAATGCAATCAATAAACAACACGTAATCGGTCAATGACTCAATCAATCAATCAATCACCCAGGCTGAAGCGCGACTCAAGACAAAAATAAAGACAACACCATGTTTCCAGCGGGTGTGTTCCATAAACCAAAATAATTGTGGTAGAAGAAGAGGAAAAGGATGTATAGATCCAAGATGGAACAAGAAGTGAAGAAACAGGTATGTGTCGTACGGAACAAAAGAAAAAGGCGAGGATATAACGGTGGTGACTAGGGAACGCCGGGTTCATCTGAGAGGTATGGTATCAGGACGTGAAAGGCACACAGGAACATAGGAAAGGTTGGTTTGTTCAGTCGACAGTGTAGGTTGGTGATGGTTAACTTAGCTGCCTTCTTCTAGTGCAGCTTTGATCTTGGCGAAGAATCCGGCGGGCCAAGCGGCTAGTTCTTCGTCCTTGGGGATACCGCGGACGCGGCAGTGGTTGACCACGTTCACGAGGATCCGGTTCAGCATGTCCTGGGTGACTGGGACGGCGCCTTCGAGCTGCGCGTCTGGGTAGAGGAATGGGTCGCGCTGGCCGAGAAGCTCTTCCACGGTTGGACGCAAGGTTTGATCGCGCTGAAGACAGCGCTTCAACGTTCGGACCAGTCCAGGGGGTACGGGGACGCCTCCTACGCCGAATGCTGGGAAGTCGATCTTCACGTGGGGATTGGGGATGGCGAGGATGCGTTCATAGTATTTGGCGATTTTAGCAAACGGAGGTTGGCCGTACACCATCTTATAAAGAATGCATCCTAGACTCCATACGTCACTCGGTTTTCCGAGCTTCATCATCTTTCCCACACTTGCTGGTAGGCCAAGTGAGGCATTGGAGTCGACCAAGGCTTCCGGCGACATGTAGTTCGGGGTCCCCACTTGCTGTTCACGATGCACGTTCACGGTGTTATCTTGAATGGCGTTCGCGATGCCGAAATCGATTAGCTTCAGTCGGCCCTGAACCAGGAGGAAGTTCGCCGGTTTCAGATCAGAGTGGACAATGTTGTGATCGTGGACAGCTTGAACACACTCAAGCATCTCCTTCCAGTAGTATCGGGTAAAGTTGATGTCGAACCTCGCGTCTTCCGCGTTCAGGCGGTAAGTAAGGATCTTCTCTAGATCTGACTCTCCAATTTCCATCAAAACACTCAAAGTATGCTTGTCTGAGTTCAACTCCCAATCGAATAAACGAACAACACGATCAAGATTCTCCAACTTCTTGAGCAAGTCAATTTCACCCTTGTATCCAGCCAAGGTAGTTGGATCGACATCCTCCAGATTCACTCTCTTCAAAGCAAAAATCTTATAGTTCTCAGCCATGACGCGGTAGACTCTCGAACTTCCACCACGACCGATGCAGTCCAGCCGGGTGAAGGGCTTATGGTTGACTGAAACTTGACTGCGCTTTTTCCGTGATTGTGATGCCGTGGCAGCTCCTCCTGTCGCGGTGGCGGTCTCAAGAACGGACATCTTAGGAGGAGGAGGGGCCGGTCTGTGAGGTGTGTTATTACTTCTTGTTGCAAGGATCTTTCTAGGGGAGTTCCCGTTCCCTGCAGGTGTCTCCCCTTGCTCTTTCTTCTCGTCACCATACACCACAGCAAGCTTCTCAGGCTTGTCCAGCAAGTTGAAACCCTGAGGCTTAGTGCGCTTGAATGTCGGTGGAGGCTCATTCTCCTGGTCTCTAGAAGAAGGCAATGTCGGCGGAAGAGGGACTTTGAACACAGGCTGTTCTTGCGAGCTTGAGGGTTTGGAGGACATCTCCGAAGAAGACCCGGGTGTCGATTTCGAGTGCGACCCATAGGATTTCGGTGAGGACGATCTAGAAAAGGGTCCATCTGCACGATCATAGGATCGGTGCTCATCGGTTCTGAGAGGTGGGCTTGGGTCGGCCCATGATACCTTGGGTGATGAAGATTTCGCAGTGTTCTTATAGTGGTAGTCGGCGTTGTCGATATTCGCGTCAAGGTCTCGGTCTTCATTATTTTCTTCACTCTGTCGTCGTAATACACCGCGTCTTGCGGGGCCGTTCAAAAACGTTCCAGTGAGTCGTCCGACTCGCTTGACGCGCAATGAGCTCGCCATGCCGATATCCTCCGGGTTTCGCGTTCGTAATACCGATGAAGGACCGGTGCGAGGAGCGTAGTCATCCTCATACCTATACTTCCTTTCATCTTCTGAACGTTCCGCACTTCCGTGGTCGTCGACATAGCTCCTTTCGGCGGAGCGTCTCTGAGAAGGGGATACGGATGCGGGAGAGCGTGTATAGCTACGCGATGCATTGATTCGCACGCTGCGTGGCCTAGGAGCGGGCGTAATGAAATCATTCGAATTGGTTCTTGCACCCTGGTCGGCACTTTCGCTGTTGGAGAGGAGTGATCCCTCCCTTCTTGATCTACCGCCACTGCCGCTTAATGATGGCGCAAGGCGAACCACGCGAGGTGCAGGACTACCGGTCGAGTGGTCTTGAGGAGGCGTCGCTCGAGATCGTCTTTCCTGGCTGGAGGCAGCAGAGGATCCCATGCGCTCGCCGCGAAGGCGCGGGGACACATCGAGTCCATCTTCGTCAAGCAGGGCCTTGACGGAAGCGCTGAATTTCGGTTCGGGGACTTCGTCGTCAGAACTGTCTCCCGGCGAGTATTGTCTAGCCACGGAGGAATTGGTTCGAAAGGCGGATGAGTTCTGGAACTCTGGGGAGGTCCGCCTGGACCCGGAGCGGGAGAGCGCGGCGCGGGACATCTCACGGGTACGAGGATTGTCGAAGTAAACCGGTAGGTGTGCTGTCGAGGGTGAAGGGGGGCGAGGGCTTCATGCAAGAGCTCGGAGAGACCGCATTGACGTGTCAGCCCGGAGAACCAGCCCAGTTGGCCCCAATGGTACCTGCTTCAAAGGGTTAGTAGTCGACGTTTGGCGTGTTGTGGTTAATCTAGTGTAAATCGAAACATCCAACTTCGAATTGCCGGTGGCTGGGCGCGGGTCACGTGAATGGGTTGTTGTTCTGGTTGCCCCGGGCAATCAACTTCCCTCCATCAACAATGATCATTAGACTCCCCACTCGATGATGTCGAGGTAACTATCTAGGACTTGGTCCAAAGTAGTACAACCTCCTCCTTGCTTGCACTGACAATGTCCACTTCTCTTGGGAAATTATTTTGCTTGTATCCTGGCTGACTCTGCATCTCACTGCAGGCAACCGTGCTCTCGCTTCGACGCGACGTTGACCCCCGGGGATTTTTAGCGCAAATCAGCTACTACGGTTAATGCTTCTGCTCCAATGGTAGCCCTTTATCTCCGTGCACTGATGTGCCATGGTACCTTCTGAATACTAGTAGTTGGAGTAAGCATTGGCTTTTATTAATTAGTAATTAATTAATTAATCTTATTCTACTTTATTTTATTACTACTTGGTACTATAGTTGTCTACTATTGTTGCAGTGATGCTCGGATGGAGCAAAGATATATATATATATGATGTAGTATATATCTGAATGGAACATCACCTGTCAACTCACCTTTCGGGAAGTATAGCAATATCATCATCATAGAAAAAACTGAATTACCGCTAGCCATCTGAAGCGTATACTAATGAGTTATCAGTACTTAGTACTACTACTAATAGTTTTGACTAGCGATACTAAGCACACCGCACCGATACAATTGAAGCCAATTACCGGTATCGTGGTAGTAGTAGACATCTGGCAGCAGTACTACTAGCAGTAGTGTAAAATAATCAAACGGCAACGCGACTGTAAGCGATATACAACACACAGAATAACTAGGATCGATGGCTATACAGTAAATATACTTAACCCCCAGTGAGTTCCTTAAGCGGAAATGACGAGATAGGATGGAATAGCATGACCTGGTACAACACATGGAATGGGCTTGACTTTATGGCTGATGTACATATCTACCGTTAATTTTGTGCAGCAGACAACGAATGAATTGACTATAGAGCGGCCCCGGTACTTTTTGCTGGTAATTGCCTCCCACCTTTTGAACAGTGGACTACTCCAGCTATCACACTTCACATGAACTAGGATTTCTAGTAGCTAGCTGTCTCATTCGTAAGCTCTGTGGGTTGAGGGCTTGATGTAGGTTTGCTGAAATGGGGCGTTTTCGTGAACAGGGAAAACCTTTCTAGTCCCCTGTTCCATACTCCGAGGGGAATTATGAGCAGCAACTTGGGACGTCGAAGGCATGAATCAATTGCCATTAGATGTGACAATTGTTGTTAGTGCTAGTATCTGCTGCGTTGACTTCTTGATAACACACATCTCCTAACCAGTACGGTTTATGATTTCCCATCAACTTGTAAGTGCCCTGATGAGCGTGAAAACTGATAATGCGAAAAGTTGCTCAATGATAGGGTCCGACCCCCAAGTCCAGTCTTTGAGCCACAAATAGTTTGTATCTGTATCATGAGGGATTTTCTTGCCGATACGAGGAACCTACCAGCGCAATTGTGTTTGGATGGGCATGCTAAACTGTAAATCATGACTCGTAA